CTACTTCAGCCCTTTATTCATTGGGTCTTCATTTTGGGAAAGGGGAGGGCTGAGCATATGTACTATAAAGCTCTTCAGCATTACATGGAATTTTCCTGCTGTTTAATCCTTTTTTTTTTTTTTTTTTTTTTAATAAAGTGCTATGATATCTCAAGGTACTGCTTAGAAAGGAAAACAGGAACTACTACTTGTCTTTAAATCTTTTTTACTATTGTGTTTATCTAATTCTTGTGTTAAGAAAAGAATGGCATACATCTATCCTGTAAGCTAAGGTTTGACAACAAACACACCTGTGAGGAAAAATACTTTCTAAATCAGTAATGTTTGTAATGGTGCTGGATCCAGGCTAAGAGGAAATTACAAGAATTGCTAAGTGGAAAAACTACTAGCATCACCTGAAACGATGTATTGAAATAGCGGTACTAGTGGTTTTGTAAGTTCAAAAGGTGCCTTCAAGAGGAGCCTAGAATTTTTTTTAAATTACACCCTTTCAAGGCCTATAGCAAAGTACTCGACCTCTCTAATTGCTTTTGGAGATCCTGATCTAAACTCCTAGGATGAAGTAACTTCTCAGAGTTCTACCCCCTCATATAAACTCTCCTCAGGACTGTAGAAAACATGCTGACTTACCAAGAGCTGTAAAGAACACAAGACCAGCCTTCATTAGAACTGGTAACAGGTTATCCTCTCTCTTAGAAGAGTCTCAGATCTGGCTGTGCTACATGACTGTAGCTATCATCAAGCCTTGAATCTTTTCCTGGAGTGAACTTTGCAGTGTATTAAAAATCATAAGAGATTGTAAAAACACATCTGTGTTGCCTCAGGCATTGCAGAGAAAGGACACACACAGAACCTACCCACCTTTCCCCAGCCCTGGAACTACAGTTGAATGGATTTAAGAAGTGGAAGCTTTTTGTATACAAATGCCTGTGAGTCTCCTAGAGTCATATTCAGTCTTACCTCAGCATGGCTGCATTTGGCATCCTGGAAACATCTTGCAGCTATTGTCTAATACACTCTTCCAGCACCTTCCCTTATACTTGCAGATGTAACTTTTGTTTCATGTACGTTCTTCTCAACTTTTGAGAAACATGAGAGATGTGAAACTTAGAATACAAATGATATCTTAAAATCTGCCTTCAGTAGTGGATTGAGATTAGTTCACTACTCTTGAAGCAGATTATAGTAGCAAAGGAGTTAGTGATTTGTCCCCAGATTCTGCAGCAGACAAGCTCTGGTGCTGGACACCCAGGAGAACTAGCTCTTTTTTTACCTCATTCATCTCCCTGCTGTATCATACACTCACTTGTTTATTAGTAACATCACTGTGGCTCACCATCACTCCTTGTGCTACTCCCACCCAGGCTACTTCTACCCATAATGATAGAAGCAACAGGATCACACAGGACTTGAAGCAGTTCTTACTTTTACCATAACTCTTTCTAGGATTATTCTTTCTTATAAGACAGATGAGTACCAGCATAGGAAGGAGAATTCAGTAAAGCCAGCCAAGAGCATAAACAAAGGATCTGTTGTGCTGTCCACAGCAATGAACTTATAACCATAATGAAAGGCTGAATATTCTTTTTTCAGAAAGGGTAAGTTGAAATTTATAAGTTATTCTGTTTTTTAACACTAGTGTGAAATTCAATGTGTTAGAGTACTGTAGATACTTTTTCTTACAATCACATTACCAAAAATACACCACTGTTTCTTAGTGAACTGATGGCAGAAGATTGATGCAGCTTGTCCTGGGGCGCAAGTCAATCTAAAATCAGGTGGCACCAAACTACAGTGAAGAACCTAGAAGGAAGAGACCATGATTTCTTGTATTTTGATTCTGATCTGAGAATATAATTTTCCTGGATTATCTCCTGGACATTTAGCACATGATACTCATTATCTTCCTGTCTTTTGCTTTGAATCTAGGAGTCATTTAAGCCCACCGAAGAGCACGTGCTAGTGGTAAGACTGCTCGTGAAACATCTGCATGCTTTCAGCAACAGCCTGAAACCAGAGCCTCTCTCCCCTTCAGCCCATTCCCACACAGCCAGCCCACTAGAAGAGTTTAAAAGGTAGATGCATAAGCAGCCTGTCTCTGAAACATATAGAGCTTCTCCCTGAAAAGCTCTGCTTTCACCGAGAGGTTGAATTAGGTTGTTTTGATGGCTAAATGCAGGAGTACATTATTAAAAGTACATGAGAGCTAATGGATTATGTTTCTCACATCTACTAGATGGGGGGGCAGCTTCAGGAGGGGGGAATATCTTGCTATTTTACTAGTCTATATCTTGGCACAAGTCAGAGAAAAGAAAATGCTACTAGAGGATTCTGGCCAAGGTTAGTGGAGAATTTTATATTTATGTATTTGAGTTGAAATTCAATGGCCAGAAGTAGCTTCAGTTAAGAAAGAACAAATTTGGGTCAGTGCTTTCTGTATTTGCATTTGTGGAAGTGTGTTGGGTTGCTGGTTGGTTGGGTTGGGTTTTTTGTTTTTAAAATTAAATGCTAGTTTATACATATGACTGTCTTTGAATCTGTTTGCAGGGTTGTGATTCCTCGGTTTGTCCAGGAGAAACTTTATATCTTTCTGCAACACTGTTTTGGCCACTGGCCTCTGGATGCCTCTTTCAGAGCAGTACGTACCCACTTCTCTTTCTAAGTCTGTACTCAACAGAACTAGTAATTAGTTATTGCTGTTTAGCAGCTATTTCTTGGTCTTTAAACCAATTTTTTATAGAGCCGTGAAATTCTTTATATAACATGTACATTTAATGTTAGAGAAAGAGTGCCAATTAGACATAAGAAGGAAGTTGAATAGATCTTGGTGAGAGTTACTACAGGTTGTTGGCTGATTTTCCTGATGCTGAAAATGGCTGGTGGTGGAAAAGAAGTAGGTGTTACTCTTAAAACAGATACATTCTTACAGGTTCTTAATATATTATCTAATATGATAGGTCATAAGCAAAAGTAATACAGTATTAATTTACGATAGCAAGATACTGCAAATATTTCCTCCTGCAAGGAAGAAAAGAAATACATCAGACCACGACTCTTGGTAATTAATGTAGGACTTTAAAAATGCAGGACGTAACAGGGACAGATCTTGCTTATTAGACCTATAGTTAGCTATATCGCAGTGTTTGAGGTACATGTAAGGCAGAATGTCAGAAGAAATGTTTACAGAGGCCATGACAAACCTATTCTTGGCTTCAGTGCAATCAGGACTCCACTGTGTTTCCTCAGGGTGGTGAGTATGTCTATGCAGAAGATGAGCTGAAACGATATTAATGTAGCATCTTGTTTACTTACTTCAGTAGAGATTCAGTGAACACTATCAGAGCTGTTAAATGCACCTTAAATGTAGCTACCAACTAAGTTTTCTTTTTTTGTAGTAGCTGTTTGAGTGCCATCTCATTTGGGTATTACAGAAAATCCAGATTAGTCCTAATGAACGTGCACTTAGGTTTTTTTAGTTCTTTTTCAAAGATACTCAGATTACTAGAGAGAGCTTTATTCCTAAAAACTTTCAGGTGTCATTAAGAGAATATTCACTAGGTTTAAAAGAAACAAACAAAAAACCCTTTCTGTCTTCCTTTCCAAAAAGTATTGATACTCATATGTTTTTATGTGTAATTTTGCTTAGGTTCTTGAGATGTGGTTAAGTTACTTGCAGCCTTGGAGGTATGCTCCGGAAAAGCCGCCACAAAGTGCAGAACCCTTGCCTCGGAGCGTGTCAGAGAAGTGGTAAGGAGAAAAGCAGCTGTGAGTAATCTGAACAAGCCTCAAGTTTATGCAGATCCCAAGTAAAACAGCAGGATTTCAAGAACCATCCGCTAACCTGAATTAGCTTCCTGTACAAGATTAGAGATTATTTCTCACATGAGCTTTTGTTTTGAGAGGAATATTCTTTTGTCTCAGTGCAAATAGACCATCTTTCCAAAGACAGTATAAAACATTGCCTTAATGACTTGTTTGGCAGAAGACAAAATAACAATTATTTAAATAGCTGTACTCACAAATCCTGTACTCACTTTGACAGGGCTGCCTTCATTCAAGAAAACCTACTCATGTATACTAAGCTGTTTGTAGGATTTCTGAACAGAGCTCTTCGAACAGATTTGGTCAGTCCAAAAAATGCTCTCATGGTGTTCCGAGTAGCCAAGGTCTTTGCTCAGCCCAATCTAGCTGAAATGATCCTGAAAGGTAAATGGATATTTTGACACCTTATGCTGTCCTGTCTCAATCTTTCTTCACAATGGCTACATCTTACCTCAGAGGCACTGAGGTGAATAAACTTGCTCTCACATTTTGCATGCTATTTTGCCATTCAAAAGTCTGTGTGTTTTCACTAATGTTTGTAACATTGGTTTAATATGTCTATAGTTCTTTTCTAGCCACCATCATTTAGATTTCATTCCACGATTTTTCTTTAAAGAATGAAGAACACAATATTGGGTGTATACAGTAAAGTCAGTTTTTCTTACACTTGTCTTACTTGATCATTTACCTCAGGATTAAAACTTCCTATATCTCTAAAGGTATCTATACTTAGCAGAATAGCTAGTCATGTATGCACTTCAGGATAATTAGGATACAGTAAATTTGGGAGAGGGAAGATTTGAGAAGCATCAATGTCTGAAGCATCATGATTCTCCACTGCTTTTGTTGAAAAGAAAGTTACAGGCTCAACTGTATGGTCTGCATTTAAATGCACTCTAACATTTTCTGCTGTGGGCGGAGAGAATTAAATGAAAAAAAAAAAGGTAATTAAGGGTGCTCTCCCCCTAGAACTGCCTGCCTATCTAAAAGCAAGTTGCCTAGCAGCCTTAAGATGCTTTGTAGCTAGACCTTCCCCAGGCAAAACCAGGAGTGTTATGTAACCATCTTCACTACTTTTCTCAAATTCTAGGAGAACAGTTATTCCTGGAGCCAGAACTTGTTATTCCCCATCGTCAACACCGACTTTTTATGACCCCCACACTTGGTGGGAGCTTCTTCTCATCATGGCCTCCAACTATTACAGATGCCTCATTTAAGGTGAAGAGTCACGTTTACAGCCTGGAAGGCCAGGACTTCCAGTATAAACAGATGTTTGGTACAGAAGTCAGGAATTTGGTAAGCAACATGTTTCTTGTCAGCTGTCTTTCTACTTTGATGGGTGTTTTCTCAGTGCTGAGCATCCATATTATGAGAAATTAAGAGTGGAAAACCACACCCTGCACTACTGTATAATTAAGTTTGCTCTTGGTGACTTCTGGAACCTGAGAGGTCTCAATCCACCACAGTTGTAAATATCTGCTTGCTCTTTGCTAAATAAGAAGTTAATGTAACGGCTTGCAGCCTTGGAGTAGTGTATTGCGAGTATTTCCTCTCAGACATGCTTACTGTGAACTTCTGATTCACTGTATTGATTAATACCCATCAGCAAGGAGGAAAAAAAAGCAGCTGAAAAACCTAAGAAGCACTCAAGTTTCTTACATGCTTCAACGTCAAAGAACTACCTTTGCCCTATTGGAAATGCAACTAACAGTCTTAGCACAAGTCTGCATGAGCTAAGAGAGTGAGTTTGCTGGGTTTGGTCTCACTGCCAGGTACCAAGGCACAGTTTTATCCATGTGTTGATGCTTAGTGGTCCTTTATGTTAGTCCCACACAATTAATTTTTTTTGTGTTTTAGGTGTTAAAACTGGCTCAGTTAATTTGCCAGGCGCAGCAGACAGCAAAATCCATATCAGACCATTCTGCAGAGACAACAGCTAGCCAGTCCTTCTTTTCATGGTTTAGATTTACACCATCCGAGATGAATGGCTCCTACACAGGCAGTGACCTTGATGAAATTGGGCAAGACAGCATCAAAAAAACAGATGAATATTTAGAGAAGGCACTGGAATACTTGTGCCAAATCTTTAAGGTACGTAACATCTTTCTAAGAACTTCCCCTATGTGGCAGTGTGAACAAGAGTCAGGACTCCTCAAATGTACTTCTGTCACTCTTGTACTTTGTGGGGTCACAAAGCCATCCAGAGACCCTGCTGGCAAATTTTGTGGTAAATGTCTTCAGGTTTGACTTTACCTGACCACTTCAAAACTGCTTTCTATATAGATAGAGCTAGATGCTCTGAATTTCTGAATATTAAGCCCACTTTGTTTCAAGTGACCACTCTTTTGGACTATAGTTTATACCAAACCTGTCTCTTTACTTGTTCCTGTTCTCATGTTTACAAACAGGCAAGACATGGCTTAAATTTTAAAAACAGTCCACTATCTTCTAAATGTAAGGAGCTATAAAAATACAACATGTACAACATAGATGAATGGATGAACTAGAAATAGGCTGTTTCTTTGGTTAAACTTAAAAGAACAGATTAATTTCTCTGTCAGCCACACTCCCTTGTGCAGAACTGACCCAGGAGAAGGTAGCTATTTGACAGCTCTCAAGGAGTAAGGGACATATAAACCAGAACACCTCTGTTAGATTTGATGAGCACAGACAAGAAATCTGGAGGCTTTTATCTCCTTTTAATATCTAACTGAGGTGCTATTAGGCAGTTCTTGGTATCTTGCTGGTTGTCAAAGTGGAACTGCTAAGGAGTTTGTGAAGGGAGAAAGAAATGAAACAGAAGAATGGGTTGATCAAACACATGCTTTAGAACTGTGTTATTCTTGAGTAGCTGAATGAAGCCCAGCTGACCCAGATGATGATGAAGTGTGGGACAGCTCAAGACGAGAATGGAAAAAAACAGCTTCCAGACTGCATTGAAAGTGAGGATGGCCTTATTCTTACACCCCTTGGCAGGTACCAGGTGAGAGAAGAAAGATTCCATATAGCTACCCTAGATTGTTCTTTTAAAAACAAGTTGTCCTTCTACATTAACAGAAATGCAATTTATCTGGTCCCAAGAGAGGTGCCCGTATAATGGCATTTCAAGTGGGAGCTACAAGGTAAGGGGTTTATTTTCCTGTTTCTAGATCATAAATGGCTTACGCAGATTTGAGGTGCAGTATCAAGGAGATACTGAACTTCAGCCCATCCGAAGCTATGAAAACGCCACTCTTGTCCGCCTCCTATTTCGTTTATCCTCAGCACTTAACGAAAGGGTAAGTACAGCATTGCCTCCTTTTATATTTTCCATTACAAATTTCTGTTATTCTCTGCACCTGCACATATATGACACTAGGTTTGTTCTTGCTCTGTCTCCTTTATTGTGGTCTAGATGGGTATTTCCTAATAGTATCAGGCCTGCTTCTCTACCTGTAGTTCTGCTTTTCCTACACAAAACATTAATAAATAACATTTTAAATGTATTCTTTATGCTTGATGAACAAAGGGAGTATCATTCAGAATGAATGTTGCTAAAACAGGAAAAGCAAATCTTTTTCTTCCTATAGATATGATAGATAAAAAGCAAGTCTGCACTAAAGCAGTTCTACTATGTAAAAGTCCATTTTGATATTTTTTTCCTCTATTTCCTATAATCCTCATCCTATAAATGAAGAAAATTGTAAAATAAGTTGCACTTACTTTCTGACAGTAATTATAGTAGCATACTAATGTTTAAACTCTTCTTACCTCAGTTTGCTGATCAGATGGATGTGCTGTGCTCCAGGGAAGATTTTGTTGGCAGACTTTGTCGCTATCATCTTACCAACCCCCACCTCATACAGAAAATCAGGTACAGTCCCGTGGTGATGGACAGAACAAGCCACAACTGGGGACCAAGAATCAGTCTGAGGTTTCTGGCTAGCTACAGGACTCTCATTTCTTTGCTGATGATCTACTTCATTGCATCATGGTTTTACATTGGGCCAGTGGGCTGCTCATTCATTATCCTGATTGGATATTTTCTTTATGCCATAATAATGACTCTTTTCTCTGAAGGATGGAAACCACATGAACACTAATTTCCTTCTCTCAGCTTACACTTGTAAAAATAAATGTTTTAAGGTTGAGCCTGGGATTCAATGACTAAAATGTCTGAATTATCATATCAGATCTTCCTAAAGTATTTTTTAATATTAAAAAGTTACTTGAGTTTTATAAACAATGATGTGGTCTTGTGGAGATAATCAATGTAAATTTTATTTTTATAAAAGTGTTCCTATGGAGTCTAGTGAATCCTTTTTTTTTTTTGAGGGGGGGGGAAGCAAGAAAGCCTTTAAAAACCTGTCACCTTTTCTTGCAGTGTGTCTTGACCCCAGGGCTGTTGATGACCTACACTCAGTAACTCAGAGCCATACTTTAATCAAGAGCACTCTGGTCAGCTTATGCAGAAAAGTGGAATAGCGGAGGGTCATTTAGTTTGATCTAGAAATACAGTTTCTTCTGAACCACCACCCAAACAGCAACAGCAGGCGAGGCAAAGCTGGAGATGTGGCGCTACCAACATAATGCACGGATATTCTCAGCACTAGCTTCAGCTACGTTTTAGCATATCAGATCTCCACCCAAAATTCGTATGCTTTACCTAAACCAGTTGGAAGCACAGGAAAGAGGAATGCAGTATTTCTGTACTGCCTGCTGCTGCAGTACAGCATTTTTAGCAAGACATTTTATTGCTCACACCAAGCTGCTGTGAGAGATGCTGCCAGGCACTTAACATAGGCTATAATTAGGAGGATTTTGTTCACACACACAAGGCAAAAATTATGCTTACTTTTTTTCAAAGTTCTAGAGAGTAAGTGAGTCCCTTTCTAGGTTACTACCTCCCAGGTCATGGGGTTGTTTGTGTGTATGTTTGGGGTTTGGGTTTTGTTTTTTTTTTTATTACAAGCTCTGCTGTTGGCTAATACGAGAATCTGAAGTTCTGAAACAGATTGAGAATGTTGGGGGGTAGATTTTTTTTAACATTACAGTGATAAAAATATTTAGTGCTGTTCTCTAGAAGCAAGTCTATATGCTGTCTAGCAAATTCCATGATACTACTATATAAAAGGTCAACTTTTTTTTTTTTAAAATGAAGTTATGTACATCTCCATGTTAGATACCTTCATGTTATATCCCCAGCTTATCATCACAATATTTATCCCCCATGATGACATGGGAGTCAAACACTTGACTAAAAACAGGAGTTCCTCAGTAAAAGGTATGTCAGGTTTCTGGAAGGAACACATTCAGCAATTGAAAAAAAATCCATCCCTCAAAACATCTCTAATCAAGGGTGGGGATCTCAGTCAAGTGTCTTATTAACAAAATGGCACAACCCAGGGTACTAAACAATAAAAAACAGGTGTTTTCACAGTCTATTTTGTGATTTCAAAACATCCTTATTTCCCTGGGACTAAGGGGCTCCATTTCCCCACCAGCCCGTTTCTGCGCTCTGAGTATGGCAAACAGGCAAACAGCAGGCACAGCTGCATATGTATTTCTGTCCCTGTGTTCACCCTCACTCCTTCCTGCAATTTCCATTCTCTGAGCTACTTTTTTTTATTAACACTAAATGTTCTTTGGGGCAATACACCAAGAGATGCCACAAAGAGGAATCCTGATCAGATCAGCTTCCAAAGGCAAGTCAGTCAGAAGAATAACCACCATTTTGTGCTCACTGAAAATATGCCACAGTAGTGCACGTGGGAGAGAACTAATCAAAGTGAAATGAGGTTCAGTAGGAAAACAGCTATAAGCTAAATGTAAATAAATATCCAAAACTATGCTGTAGGAACCAAAGCATTCAGTATCATGAAAGCAATAACTGGTTTTTGCTAAGAAATCCACCAATCTGCTTAAGCCTCAGAGCTGCATGAGGGTTGCATCTCATCAGGTTCCACAAGTGTAAAAGGTATTTCCTGCTTATTAGACATTGTCCTGCTGTGATGCTGTAGAGAATTGTCCTGCTGCAGGTTTGATTTGAGCAATTTGATACTTGAGGGCCTTGGCTTTGCAAACTTGTTTGCTTAAACTGCCACTCCAGACTACTCCCATCATCAGCTCTGCAGTCACAGGACTTAGGTCATCATTTCTCTCTTTTTTCTGCAGATAATAAAATTTCTACCTCATCTTCTGCAATGACCAGTTCAAATCACTGTTCAGCACCTTAAGACTGCTATAAAAGGCACGACTTACCTCTGGGGTAGCAGAAATATCAGAAAAAGGTCACCAGACAAGACATTTTACCATTTTATGTGGCCTTATTACCATTTCTATTAGTTTATCATGTTTTACTAATCATACTGACATCAAAGTGAACCATTCAGAAACACATACAAAGCTAAATTTGGACTGCTACTAATTCATGGAGCCTACAAAACCCACATTGTTTATGGTGAATAATGAGTTTTCTGGAAAAACAGCAGAAAGGTAAGTCTCTCTCCGTGCATCTGAAATGACGTTTGGAAGACATTCACAAGAACAAAAACATTCCAGGAGACTACTAACCACTTAAATCAGGTAAGAAAATGCCTCTAGAAATCTCTCTAATATTCGTGAACCAACTTAGAATAGCTTATGTGGTACTCTGAAAAAAATCTTCCTTTTTAAAGACTTTTTTTAAATTAGTTTTCCTCCCAATAAGTCTGCAGGATGTTAAGTGGAAGTCAGAGGTGCAGGTTTTATAGTTAAAGGCCACCCAGAACTTCTGAATCTAGAAAATGCTTCTGTAAAGGATGGCATTTGGGGGTGGGGGGAACAGGAACATGACACAACACAAAAACAATGGTCTGGGTATCTCGTCATTGACACTTCCCAGCAAGCAACAGTATTACTGCCATTTCAGGTTTCAAGGAATTTTAAATCTTCATTTTAATGTACATTATATACCTATGCACACACAGAGCAAGTTTTAAACACATTCTGTGTTTTAAGACTGCTCCTTGTTTTTTCAATAGCCCTAAACCAAGACACTTGTCTTCAGATGAAGATGAACATACATAGTTATCACTTGTCCTGTTAGATAATTTTATAAGGCTACTGCAGTTAGAAAAGAATATATTGAGGAATAACAGTCTAGATTGATCAGGTTCAAGTTGGAGGTCAGTCCCTCAACTGGAAAGCATTTCCCAGAGCATCTATATTTTAGTACATGCTGTAGTATGACAGAGCCCATATCCAAGCGCTAATTGATACGACAATCTGCAAGAAAGGCTATTGCTGCCTAATCAGACATGAGAGTAAATAAACAAAAGAAAACAGCCCAGAACAGTTAGTTAGGGCCCTTCACTCTTATTATCTCTCTCCTCTGGCCAGAAAGACTTGCTTGTCTTCCACAGCCAGTTTTAGCAATAGACCTGCAGTTCTCTTAAAGATGCAATTAGAGTAGGGAACGTGTTCTACCATTTCTTTAAGTAAGTAGGTTGTTCCAAAGATTGAATCACTCCATGCAGACACTGGCTATTTAGAGTTTGACTGACTCTTTCTCAAATATGTATATAGAAGACTCAAATGACACTGCTTCCTATAGCTCCTCTCAGGTATTTGGTGCTTTAAGGTGCCGTCCGTACGAGATGATATTTTCAAAAGCACTCACAGATCTCATGCAGGTGAGAAACAGAGAGAGTAGATATGGTAATACAAGTCTCCTTAGAAGGTAGCAGTTATCAGAATGGAATCAAAGAATTCTTTCAATTTAGTCCACTGATATGCAAATCAGTTATATTAGCTCACATTGTCAGTATTAGCTGTATTGGCTCTCCAGTACATTTCATGCCTTTTATGGTCAAATTTGGCCCATAAAAATGATCTACAAATGAAAATCCCTTTTCCTTTGTGCAGAATGAACCAGGTCAGAGCAGTTTTAACATTACATTCTAGCAGGAGTCAATAGTTTTGGAAGATGGAGAAAAATACACTTTCCTAAATGTAAGCATCACCATATCCTGTAAGAGAACTATAGTACATTAATACTAAGGCATAAATATTTTCAGTAGCGTACTGGGAAAAGGATGAGTCCAGAAAACAAAGGCATGGGGCATCAAAACAGGAAGATGTATCCATTAGCACAATAATTCCCAAAAGGGGTGCCCGCAAGAACATTTTCCCCACGTTCTGCCCTTAAGCATCCAGTCTGAAGAGCCTAGCAAGAGCAAGCAGCCCTGGGGAGCCAAAAGGCAGGATGTGTTGTGCCAGGCTCGGCAGCTACTGATGCATCTACTGCCTGGCCATGCTAGACAATGTCAAGGTAGCTCATATAGCAAAGATACAAAGCTAGACTTTAACACAGAAGAGCTATGCCTCAGATAACAAGTTTGGAAAAACAGAACAGCAGTCAATCACACAATATCCTTGTTCCATGAAGAAAAACAGCAATTCATTCAAAATACCACAACTTTTTTCCCCAAAGTCCTCACTGAAGTTTAAAGTCTCATCAGCCAGACAGGACAGTCCATCACACAACCACTGCGCTCACCAGTAGGGCAGTAATCCCAACCCAGTACCTTTCCTAATTGAAAGAGAAATTGTTTCAGGTAATCACAGTAAGATTGATTTGCTGCATTCCTCTCTGCAAGCTGATTGCCACACCACTGCTTATTATAAAAAAGGCAGTTTTGCCACCACTAAACACTAGGGAACAGCTTTGTTGAGAAATAGAAGGGAACTCAGGATATTCAAAGAAGCCATCTTAATCAAACTGCACTTTAATTCCACTCTTACTCTTCATTCTCATTTCCTTATTACCGTTTTGAACATTTGCATTAAAGTTTCATGATAGTTTCTTCAGCTCCTATTGTCACCTCAAGTAAAAGCCGATAATCAATTAATTTTGTATGCTTTTTGTACAAGAAAGAAAAGGATCAAACTTCAGTATTTCTGATTTCATAACAGATTTGTGCATTTCTGAAAGACACAAAGCCCAGAATTTTTCATCACAGGAGCATTTTCTGAATTCACTTTTAATGCCCTGTCCTGGTTTTCAGCTGGGATAGAGTTAATTTTCTTCCTAGTAGCGGGCATAGGGCTGTGTTTTGGATTTAGTAGGAGAAGAATGTTGATAACACACTGATGTTTTAGTTGTTGCTAAGTACTGCTTATGCTAGTCAAGGACTTTTCAGCTTCCCATGCTCTACCATTGCACAAGAAGCTGGGAGGGGGCACAGCCAGGACAGCTGACCCAAACTGGCCCAAGGGCTATTCCATACCATATGACATCATGCTCAGTATAGAAACGGGGCGGGGGGGGGGGGGGAGCAGCTATCGCTGCTTGAGAACTGTCTGGGTAGGAGAAGTTGCGGTCGGGGGGGGGGGGCGGGGCAGCAATCCCTGCTCAGGGCCAGGCCGGGCATCCATCAGTGGGTGGTGAGCAATGGCATTGCGCATCACTTATTTTGTATATTATTATTATTTTCCCTTCCTTTTCTGACCTATTAAACTGTCTTTATCTCAACCCACAAATTTTACTTTTTTTCCTTTCCCTGATTGTCTCCCCCATCCCACTGGGGAGGGGGAGAGTGAGCAAACAGCTGTGCGCTGTTTAGCTGCCTGCCAGGTTAAACCACAACATGCCCCAACAGCTGGTAAAGTACCCAAATGTTAATACTAATTTACTCCTACTTTGGTGCATCTTTCCAAGGATTTGGGAATAAGCTATTTTTTATTATATGTATTGTACATGTATTTTTTATTTAGCAAATCTATAAGCAGCTTAGAATCATAGAATCATAGCTTATGACAGTTTGCCCATCAACAGAAAAGGCAGGCAGCTATATGACACACAGCTATTAATTTGACATGTTATGGGTACATGACCCACTTCCAGTTTTCATGATTTACTTCCCAGCTGAGAAGTTGCTGTATCTCGAGATGACTACCCTACCCTCTTAGTCTAACATCTTGTTACATCTTGTTTGAAGGAAAACTGAAAGGTACTGCAGTGACAGCTCTGAAAAACTGCACTAGGAAAGTTATTGTAAACCTGAGGGACATGCATGTTTTGCATCTATTTCCAGATATGTTTTAACCAAATTGTTAAGAAATAAATGCTTCAAATGTCTCAGTGCTAGACCCTAGCAATATCTTTAACTGCCCCCACCATTTCTATCCTCATTTCTTGGGATATGACTTAATTATGTATTACAAACTGTATTTGTGCTACTGGTTCTTTTGCCTTAAGGAAAGGGACCACCATGTAACAGTACCAGTTAAAAAACTACATCTTTTGTTTGTAGATACCATTACTAATCTCTTGACCAGGTCTTCCAATTCACTGTGAGGACAGTAAAAATAGCGTTGCATGGCACAAAGAGCCAAGTATGATTTCCTCCCCTAACCTTCAAAGCGTATGAATATTCACTTACCATAGAACAAAGTAACCATCATCCAAAGGATACAACAGAACTGGTATCTAAGTATCAACATGGGAAGAGCAGTATAATGTTAGCATCCAACACAGGAATAATAATAAATTTATTACAATAGAAACAAACAGATAATGCATTAGTTCATGTACAAAATACTGATAGCATTCTGCTGCCTCAGTCAGTGCTTACTAGGTACCCACATTTAAAGACATCCTAAAACTGATGACACCACACAGATTTACAAAGGTCATAGCAATTTCTTGACGCTACTGTTAAGAGAGCCCAGCTACTCTTTAAGATTTGCTGCACAACAGAGGGAGATGGAGCAGGATATAATGGGAACATCTGAAATCTGAAATTCTTCTGCGCCAGGAAATTAAGAGTGAGCAACTTACAAGCATGGGGGGGAAAATAAAACAATCACACTATGCATGAAATTAGAGTTACTTGTGGCAAATGTTTCCATTAGAAGTGCCCAGCAATAAGGCAGCCGATGACTGACTTGAGCGCCCATCATTGCTCAAGGCACAAAATATTAGTTGTCAGTTCTACTCCTGAGCTATGTTGTTTTTTTTCCTTTTCTTTTTAAACAAACTGATGCAGCATAGAAGCATTTTCACTGAACAGCATCAACTCTCAAAGGAAGCCAGATGCCTCAGAGAGACTCTTAGTAAAAGAAGAAATGTAGCTACGGGCCTGCTGGACTGATTTGTGTTACCAGGGCTTTATACTGTTGGTTTTTTCCCCCCCACCTTTACGTACACATTTACTGAGTCTACAGAGGAAGTCAGTGTGCATATTAATATCTCTTCTTTCTAATCACCTCACTCTTTTGGAGTGAGAAACATGTGGTCCATGCTAACCAAAACCCGTTTATACAAAGTAGTGTTTAAAATAAGCTATAAAATACTCTTTTTGCTCTATTTGGTTCCCCTCCCACCCCCAAATATAATTATCCAGATTTATCTCACATATTTGAGGGATGCCTTAAAAGGCTGTAATTTATCCCATCTCTGGGCAAAGCTAATAGGCAAAAAGATTCCTGCAACCACTGAGAAGTTTGCAAGCACATTCTAGTTGCAGCTAATTTATTTCTGGGGCAGTATCAGGTCACAAAACATACAGTGTGAAAAGAATACTGGCACTGAGCAAGCTTTGAAGCAAATTAGGACATTCTCTCCTTACTCCCTCTTATACCAGACTCCCTGATGGAAGTCCACAAATAATTTCTTCTCTAAGAAGACAATAAAAACTCATCCTAATACAGTCTCAAGAACCATATATACACATTTTGTATAGCTGAAAATGCTGGCAAAAGTCCACAGAGGCAGAAGATAAAAAGCATGAAAGCTAAATCTAACATCAAGTTCTCTACTGAACCTGACACCTAGAAACAAAACAACATAAGGCTTCTTTCTTCTGAAGTACCCTCCCCAAAATGTCATTTTCAAGTGGCATGTGGAAGAGGCCAGCTGTTGAGACCTTCTTTCTTACTTCATGACTTAGAAAGTGAGATGTTATGCAGCAGAGAGGCAGGCCTGACGAATACTTTGTGCCCAGGTGTTTAAGAGTGCCGTGACTGAATGCTTGTCTGGAAGTTGCAATAGTTTTGAAGTCATGTACCGATACACTGACTGCAAAAAGGGATTGGCTGCTGGAAAAAAAAAGATAACAGATAATGGAGTTATAATAAAAATAATATAAAAAAATTAAAAATTAGTAACATCAGGTGTTCACATTTCCCCACTATTACCACATACACATGCCCAACAAATGTCATGCTAGCATCCTCATACCATACTGTCTAGGGTTTTTTATCCACAGAGGGCTCTGATCTGGGTAGTCCGCTGGAACGCTGAGCTGTAGTGGCGGGGGGGTTGGAAGATTCTTGTCATCTAGAATGCAAACACACTTCCCATCAGAACAAAGCATTCCTTGCTGGACAGAGGGGTTTTTTGTGCATAATTCACCTTGGTTTCTAGCCTCTGAACCCCAAGAAGGAACCAGACTGCACATTTCCATTTTTATTGGAAGCCAGTCTCATTGCTCACTTCAACAACACTCTTAAATTCTTGGAAAAAAAGCCTGGCAAACATAGGTCCATCTCTTACACATTTCTGCACCTTGGCAATCTCACCATTTCATCAGCTGGACTTCACTAAGTTAGACACCTCATTTTTTAAAATTAAGTGCCTTATGTACTAATATTTAGGACAAAAACACTTCAGATTTCTCAAACAAAGGGGAGGAGTACAGAATCTATTTTCCCTATTGGGATCCAAAGAGCAAAACAAGTTAATAGACTGTAACAGTTTATGCTTATTCAGCTCAGACAAAAAAAGGATGCAATTTGAATTTCTTTCTTGAACATACACCATTGTCAGTGATCATTAGTACAAACTGAAATAGACCCTCCCAAAAATTAACTCAACACTTCTCTAGCTCTGTCCTAGTTGTTGGAGGCAGAATAATTCTCACGTATCGGTATAGGTCAAATAGGGAATCAAGATTGTTGCTAGCAACAAGTAATTTTCTAGACAGTAAATAAGATTACCAATTGCAGCTTCAGTGCAAAGAAAGGATCAGTGTGAATGAAATCTATAGGTGCACCCTGAAGCAGCCTGTGCAGAATGTCACTATTAAGCAGCGCTATGAACCTGGTAAGTATAGACTTCATGTAGAAGTCACAGGTTGCCAAGATTCAAGACTGTTAGCAAAAAAACTCTTCAAATTTCTACAACCAAGCTCAGCACTTCTTTCTGAATACAGCCCTTAGTTCCTTCCTGCTTACCTAGCTTGCATATGAGATGAACTGTGCCATTATTACTGCAGTGGGAAGGGTCCAGGTTCACCAGGAATTTAGGATTTAATCTTGCAACTTCCCCTTGTAAGACATTTGGTATGGTCTGTCTTTCATCCTCTTCATATTTCCGTTTTCGAGGGGAAACAACTGGGGCCCTATGTAACATACAGTCCACAAAAGGACTAGGTGAAAATGTTATGCCAACGCTGCATTTGTCAAATACTTTACAGACGTAAAAAGGAAAGCTATAACTCACACCCATCCATAAACCCACCCGTTCTTTCAATAGTTTCTACAAATAAGTATTTTTGCCTTAAATAATGAACATTTAAGACAGACAGCAGGTCAATAATACATACGTAATTGGTGGTCCATGAATCGCAGTCATAGCTGGCATAAATGTACGGTAAAGGGAATGGTTGAAGACTGGTGAACGGATGTTGGCCAAAACAGCATCCAAAAGTGGCTGACACAAGTACTGCTGTTTGGTGGGGGGCACTGGAGGAGGTGGTGGAGTAGGCTAAAACACAAGAGAAGCCCCTTTTCTTTTAATCATCATCTCTACTATTGATTCTGCAAAATTTTATAGCAGTAAACTGCCAATGCATGAAATGCAAAGGATTCTGAAAACTGCATACAGTAACATTAAAAAAACCAAAAAAGTCCTCAGCTTTAATTTAGGAAGTCTGTCCTGAAATCAGCTGCAGAAGTTCATAGAAAGAATTACTCAAGCCTTTGCACAAAGCACAAGAATTTCAAAGGTCCATTAACAGATACGTATAGGTGACTTACATGAAGTAAATGCTTGCCCATTTTTTCCTGTTTTCTTATTTTGTCCAACCTTACCTGAAGTCTTAACAGCACAAGCAACAAGAAAGGCAAAAAATTATCTTGCCAAATTATAAGACCTTTTGGAACGAATTGTTTATCTCTTGCTAGCGCAAAGCGTTACATACCACAGCCATATCATTTTTCAGCTTCTCCAGAGCAATTTCGCATTTCTGCAGTGTCTTCAGAGGGCACCTGCAGAAAAGGAGAAATTTCATCACCACAAAATGGTCACCTCAGCTGAAGTGTTTCTGCTATCTAAGCCCCACAGACAGCTTCAGTGCCAACATGGCTGTATGCCAAACATTTCTAAATTTCTGGAAGACCTGGGGAATCTGATGTTCAGCCAAAAGGAAAAAGAGTTACCGTTTTGAAGGGTCAGTTAGGATATCCAAGAGACTCTTCATTTTACTCAGGTCCTTCTTCCTATCTGAAATAATATCAGAAACACAAACACTGACTAGAAGAATAGCTTCCATACTTGCAGACAGAAATACAGTATACTGTTAGAAATGAAAAAAATGAGCCAACACTAAAGAAAGCAGTGAGGATCAAAGATCTTTCATCTAATCTACTTGCATCTATGCCATTATAATTGCATCTATCAATCTAATTGAATACGAGATGAACTGTGCATTATTACTGCAGTGGGAAGGGTCCAGGTTCACCAGGAATTTAGGATTTAATCTTGCAACTTCCCCTTGTAAGACATATCCATTGCATAAGCTCTGTGTGTCTCAAAAACATCAGAAATACAGGAAAAGTGATGGGAATTTAAGGATGAGGATTTTACCCACTCTTCACAGTAAAATCTTTAGTCATAGGCAAGAAAGAGCAACTAACTTTCACTGCATTTTTAATCCCTGGAATAGAAACCATCACAAACGGCAAGGCACTGCTTCTTTCATCAGAAGAGATCACTGACAGAGAGAAATGCATGACTAAATATAGGGAACCTCACCTTCATTTTTATCTATTTTATTGATCATCCTCCGGAGTGGCTCAATGTATTTTGATAGCTGTTTGAGTTTCTCCAGGTACTGTTGCTCCTCTGACTGGCTAGAACTGGCTGGACTCATGACAGAATTTGGATTTCCTGGTAAGAAGTAAAGACTATGTGTCACAGGGATGATAAAAGATACTGCAGAACAACATTCTCACATTTCAGAATCGAGATCTGAAATGTGGCACTCTCAAAGTGTATCTCACGTCAAATATCCAAATCCACAATTGGATGCCCTCTACAGTTTAAGTGCTTGTCCAACCCTCTAATCTTTGTGTAGAAATAACATATTCTGTGGACAGAACAGCAATTCGCATTTAATACAACTTTTTTCTGAAAAGGTCCAACATTTCATATACCCATTTTCTAGGTCCTCGTTTTGCCTTCACTGGTGCATTAAACACTACATCAACACACTGAATTTGCTGCAGTTTTCCTTAAGTCGGTGCTTTCCAAACTGCAGAGCACACAACACTGGTATGGGAAGGAGCCGGTATGTTACTTCTATTCACTGTATCAGAAACTGCTTATTACATCTGGGAGAGAGAAGAGCACAAGTGTCAGAGTACACCTAGGAAGGTGTTTTGGAGCAAAGCAGCCTGCTGCCTGTGATTAAGTGGTTACATCCTTTACAACTGCATGCTGTTGCTAACGATTCCTTCCTGCATGGAACTAAGGAATCATTATGCCTCTATACTCTTGCTCCATTAAATTAAGTATCATTCTTTTTTCAAAAGATTGGGGGAGTTAGAAAAGCCCATTACATAGGTCAGTGATGAGAAAAGAGGTTTCAATTGATTTTGATTTGAAGTATCCATGTTGTTGTGTTATGTGGTGCATGTGACATGTTTACTACTTGCAATGCTGGCTGCTTTGTAGAGCTCAAGTTTACATCATGTCAAACAATAACAGGTTTCCTGGGAACTATTACAGTTACCAAACATACCCCAACTCACGGTCTGCAGTATAGTTTTCAGATCATTTACCTGGAGTGTTTAAAGGACCTGGGGATGGGACACTGAAGTTCTGAGGTGTTCGTGCAGCTGCTGGGCTCTGGGATGGTTGTGGAGATGGACTGGGGAGAAAGCTGCTGGGTGATGGAGCTGGGCCAGAGCTGAAAAATAAGCATAAAATCAAACCTGCCAGAATCTGACAAGGAAGCCTGATCAGCCTGTGAGCAGATATGCTTTTAGTAAGCATTGTTATGGCACACTGTAGCTCTGCCAGTAGGCTTGGTGAGGATTTGGTACACAACTTCTTTATTTAAAATGGGGGTTTTCACAGTATGTTCAGCACGATTCCACCTGTGCTCTCACTGAAGTTGATGTTAAAATTCTTTCACTTCAATGGAAACAGAGTAAGATATATCGAATGCTTCTGAAAACCTCACCCTTATGGCACCAACAAAGGTCCTCAAAAGTCGCAGTCTAGCTCACCTGACATTTGAATTTGGCTGAGAAGTTGGCTGGCCTGGCTGAGGAGATGGCTGCGGCTGTGGTGGTGGAGGCATTGATTGGGGCGTTTGAGCTTGTTGGACAGGAGATGGGGATGACATCATGGTAATATTATTCTGGCTGACCTGAAATGCGGAAAAATATAAGATCAATAACAACAAAAGGGAGTAGAGGATGGGAACCTAACTAAAAGGCTTTACCTATGGAGAAAAGCGTATCCTCATCCCTACAAGAAATGAAAGTGTTAGTTTCCTGTTCTCCCTCATAATGACAGTCCCACCTGTATCACTCTTGAGGCTCTCAGGGCAGTACTCCGTATCAACTTTACTAGAAATAACCATTAAAACTGCACATAATTTGAATAACTGTATAATAATTGTTTTTCACTTCCCTAACCATCATGTTGCAATTACAATTTCAGAAGTGCCGTCTGAAAAACCTGTATTTTATTAGAACTAAAGAAGAGCAGGAAGAAAAGACAGTTCTAACTTGAGAATTAACAGCCACAAAAAAAACACTCCTTATTTTGACATTTTAATTACAGTCTTCAGAGGTCTGTCAGACTTGACTGTAGCTTCCCAACTGGTTTTCTTTAGGAGGAAGGAAGAAAGAAAAAAAAAAAAATTAAGTAAACCAAACCACCAACATCTTGTTTAAATATTCAGCTTTGAAAGTCTGGGCAGAGATAGAAACACTCCAAACTGAATGGCTGGACAGAAAAAAAATGAAGTAGCTTTCTGACCTTTGGAGAATGATGAGGTATGCCTAAAGGACAAAAAGACAAATAAGAGCATTTCCAGAACAGCACCAAACTCTGGGTAATAACTAAGTTTATTCTACACACTCTGAAGTGCCAGAGCCAGATGATGCTCAAATTAGAGCAACTTCTCACATTTGTTCTAATGGACATCTTTCCCCTTGGTCACTTAAAACCAAACAAAAAAACCTGTATCATGGCCAGGACCATGGTATAGTAATGCAGATATTACGTGATCGTGTTTAAGACACACGCAGAGTTCTTATGGCCTGAGGCTATAAATAAGTACATACAAAGATAAACTGAGTTAGCCCACAGAGGCCACATATTGTGACTCAGTAACCCACGTGTCCATTCTGTAAGTCATTGATTAGCACCTTTATGAATTAACAACTGTTTCCCAGAGTCTAAATAATTTTTAAGCAAAGGTCCCAGTAAATCCACAAGTCCCAGACACTTCATGGGCACTGCAATTGGTGTTGTCCTTCACTCACTCGTTAAATATCCATCTAACTCATCCAACTGTTTCCAGAGGACATGACATTTAGCACGTTAAAAAGTAAGCATTGTATGGTCTACTTTTGCATGTATGCACTGAATATGACAGGAAATGCTTTGCTTGGAATATCACATTACAGCTATGCAAGAGGACATGCTCCACTAAAAAAGCCCAAACAATCTCCAGCCAAGTGCAAATGTGAAACTACTGAACTTGAAAATACTAGTTTAAAGCATAGTTTAAAATCAAATGCAGCCTGACATGCTATGATTTTTTTTCCTCCAATATTCAATAACCCCATTACCTTCACTACCTCTCCTACAAAGATATCTAGAACAAGTGAGGATGAAATGATGTTTTAAATCAGCTATTATAACTTCCTTTTCTCCATAATCAACAAATACTGAGACTGTGCTTACTGTTTTTCACAGGAGGTAGATTCTTTAACAGTATGTGTCTCCTCAACAGTTGGAAAAGCATTTCTGAGACTGAAAAGCATAGTCTGCCTCCCACAGAAACCAAGCCTCTCACCACTGTTTGGAAGGAAGCTAGGATGAACATTACAAAAAGCAATCCCTGATTTTTTTACAATTGTATTTAACATTCTGTTAAATAGCAAGTGATTTAGAACTTACCCATATGGATACTGCACACATTTTTCATCAAGTCAAGCTAAGACCACTTTTGAGTGGTTCATCACTTCCTGAAAATCAAGCCCCTTTTAAGTGTCTCAAGTTGGTTACATAAAATTACTTCTGAAAACTTAAATCCTTGTGTTTTGGGAAGGAAGGAGAAAGATTTTATTAGGGTTTTTGCCAGATTTAAACTTCTGTATCTATTTCAACACCAAGGTCCCTTCACATTAATTTACAAATGTTACAGAAAAGCGAAGAAAAGAACATGCAGCATCTACTGTGCACATAAGCATAGAACGAATTAGAACTTTTTCTGCATTACCCCTTCTCATTTAAGTACATGCATAAGCAAACAGCTTTTCTTCTTGCAACAGGTTTGCTCTCTGCCAGCTTCATTTCAGAATACCAAAGGCTAATGTCTAATATTAAGCAAAATTGTGACATTTTCAAAAACATATATTCAGAAGTATGCAATTCTGAATTTACTGCCCTACTTTTCTTTGAAAGCAGTTAATTTGCTATATAGCAATTTCAGATGTCTTCCTATAGAACAGATCTAAAGATGCTTTCAGCTTTAGATTTCTACATCGTTTGCAGGATATGGATTAAGATTATAACAATTTAATGAAATTTCAACTTCTAGGGAATGCTCTATCCCAGCTGAAACCAGGACACTCTTT